CCCAAACCCCCACCCACACCCACACCCACACCCAAACCCACACCCACACCCAAACCCACACCCACACCCACACCCACACCCACACCCACACCCACACCCACACCCACACACCCACAACATGCTAAATATATAAAGAATGTATGTCTTCTGAGTGTTCACTTAAGTCTATAAAAACAAATTATATCCCAAAAGTTTCAGACATATATTTGGATGCCATATGGCGAGCTACTGGATAACCAACGTAGTTTCTACCGTGTGTGCCTTTTTGATACCACTTGAGAATACTTTCATTGCTTAAGCATTGATTTTGTGTGAAAAATAGCAACAGGTGTGAAAATAGATTAACTGAAATGAGAGAAAAATAAACAAAAAGTTGATCAATATTGTCTACAATTGTATCTGAAACTATAGGAGGTGGGTGAGGGAGAAATTTTCAACTCGTCACGTGACGAGTTGAATAAACAGCAAAAATCAGACCTTTCGTAACACCAAAAATAGGGATATCCAGAAATACAGGGATGTCGTAACGAAATTTACAGAGAGATCGTAACGGGTACTTTGATATGTACCATTGCAGAGCTTTCGCAACGAAGCAACAGGGATTTCGTAATGAGGATGAGGATGATAGCTGGACTTAGTTTGCAGAAACTACATGCTTTTCGTTACGAAAGCTCTGTAATGGTACATATCAAAGTACCCGTTACGATCACCCTGTAAAATTTGTTACAAAACCCCTGATTTTTTGTTATGAAAGTCCTGATCCTGTCGTTACGGAAGCTCTGTTACGGGCTTTCGTACTGTTAATTCCTTACGAAAGCCAGAAAACAAAAATCGTGACGAGTTGAAATTTTCCCGGGTGAGGTACTAGTGTTTCACTCTCATTTATCTACCCATATTCATACTCATTCAACAATCATTCAGTAATTCTTGTTCTACGGAAAATTAATGGAAAAATTAAATTATTAAGCGTGAGAAAAAAGGAACTACCTGCATCTTTATCAACTGTGATATGTCCTTGAGAAGAGACGAACACTTGAATGCCAACAATCACCATGAATTCTCCATCGGGATGTTTTTTGGCCCAATATTTAATCATATTAATGTATCGTGATGTTATCATTTTACTTTCACGCTCATCAACAGATTGAATAAAAGACAAGATAAGAATAGCAATTTGTTCAGGAATGATGATTTTTTTTCTTCGTTAATATAAAGAAAGTCTAAAATGAAGTATGACATAAACGTAATTACTTTTTCGATATTTGTCGACTGCTAGTTTTTTTTTCATTCTCACTTGGAAAATTATCTCACCGGTAAAAGTTTTCCTACACATAATATAGCGTGCTGCTAGCTTATTAAATATATTGCTCACACTGATGTCCTCTGTTGGATTTACCGAGAAAACATGGTGTATTACGAAGCTTATGCCGAATATCTCATCCTTATGACATAAGCATTAATCGAGAAAATTTCGAATAGACTTTATTTATTTTATGCAATTTTGTTTTTCTCTTCCTTCGCTTAGCTATTTCCTATCAAAGAAATCGATATTCGATCTTTTGATTATCCATCTTTGTCTATCTGTCGATTTTGTTAGAAAATAGAAACAGAGTTGCAGAAAGGAGTTATCCGTGCTCCTTCAACTGACAAACACGACTACAAGATATAGTGATGACCTATATCATCTATATATATAATGTTTAGCGTCTGTCTGTGCTAGGTCAAGGGTCAGATGATGTTATAAGGGGAAGATCCCAAAGGCTATTATATGGGGGCACTCATATGGGCTCAAGGGCTATCCTATAGGGGTACATAGATGCGCACAAGAGCCATCCTAGAAGGTAGCTATAGGTCCTCAAGGGCTATCTCACGAGGCATCCATAGGTCCTCAAGGGCTATATTATGAGATAGCTATAGATCCTCAAGGACTATCCTATGGGGGTGCGCATAGGTCTGCATGATCTATGTTATGGGGGCGCTCACTCATCCCAAGAACTATTTTATAGGGTACTACAGGTCCTCAAGACCTATTATAGCGAGTACCCATAATCCTCAAGGGTCGCTCTATGGAGATGCCCATATGTCCTCAAGGGGTATCATATGACAGTACCCATAGGCGCTGAAGGAATTAAGGAAAGAAGAAGTAAGGTAATAAGGGGAAGACAAAAAGGTGATGAGGCAACAATGGGATAAGGCTACGAAATCTACAAGAGATAAAAGGCTATAAGGCCGAAAACTATATAGGCTGGAAAATATATGCGATGTAAAATTATAAAGCCATAGGGACTCTATGTACATAATGTCAAATGTGTGCATGTCTGTACAGGTCAAACGTTAAAGTTTTGATATCATACGTTAGAGGAAAAAGCAGCCGTGCAGTATGGTTGGGTTCTTGCTACTTAGATATAATAGAGACCAAATTTAGAGCATTAATTCATAGCTTTTAGACACATCTCAATAATGAATGTTTTATTATAATCCAGATAATGCGATAATGATAGCTACCTTTAGATAATTCTTGACATCTTCTTGAGCCGCATTTGATGAAAATAGGCTAATAAGTTTTTGGCTAGGTTCAATCTTCTGAGGTTTTTTCGCTTGTGACTGTTGAGTTTTATTTGCATTTTGTTCGTTCCGCGCTAAACTTGCTTGTTCTGCCCATCCTCCAATCCATTTATCTTTCGTTTTCAATGTGTCCGCTGCTGCATTTTCAAACAATGGAGAAAAACCAGCCTGTTTTTCACCATTAGGAGTCGATGTTTGTATTGTTGATGGCTAAAATTGGAGAGAAAATATGATATGAAGTATATATGGGTATTTATGAGGCTTATTTTCAATGCTTTAGACGAAACATTCCATCGTAATTGCCATATGTCTTGAGAAAGAGAATCGATCATTTGTTGTATAACGATCGCTTCATCATTATCTTCTGAATTCATAGTGATGTACTTTTGACAAGCTTCTATTGTCAGACGTTTGCGAACGTCTTCTTCGAGTCGCATCAACTGATTGTATCGCTCTTCTATGTTACTACATTGACTCATAAAGTGTTTTTCAATATCTTGTATTTTTTGTCGTCGCATTTCCTTGGCCTTTTCAAGCGTCTCATTACGACTTTTTTGGATTTTATCCAACGCAAGTTGAACTTGTTTAGTTAAATCGTTTATAGTTTGAGTGAGCTCGTTCATCAATGATGTTTCATGTTGTGTTTCTCTCGTGATACTTAGAATTGGTACCTTCACAGCATTATCACATACGTTGTTCATATGATTTTTGTGTGTACTTCAACAAAAAACTACGTATCTTATTATCTTTTTTTTATAGTCAAATATGCGCAGAAATGAAAAATATCTGAGGTCATTAAAAGAACATGTAAACTTTACCAATGGTCACAAAAACTAATCAATAGCTATTTGTTCAAACAAGAAAGAGGTTTGTTTTTCGATAGTATAAATATTCTATATATCTCCTCACAATATATATGTCAAGTTTAAAAACAAATTAAAAAGAAAGAACATATGAATGTAAAATCAATTAATTACTTAACTTAATTAACGCCCAACTAAATGGAACATAGGCGGCGGAAGCTGGAGGCTGGGTGAGGCATGAGCCTCACCAGAATTTGGTGTCTGGAGGCTCAGCCTTACCTAAATTATGCATACGATATTTTTTTGCACGATGGTTTAGATTTATCAAATGAATATTATTTCAGTGCGAAGTTTCGAACTTCTAATATATTTATTTATATGTTGTGATCATAGGCGGCGGAAGGTATAGGCTTGATAGGCTTGAGCCTCACCAGAAATGGGCACTATTAAGCTGAGCCTCACCAGAATTAGAATTTCAAGGATGGGTCAAATTCGAATCTGATATTATTTGGCT